ACGAACGGTACGAGCCAGCTGCACACGGCGCTCGGCCTCTTTGCCGCCGAGCACGTCGAAATCTCCAAGCTCGAGGTGCGTCCGTGGAACGTCGCGGCCGAGAAGGACGCGACCGAGCTCTCGACCCACAAGTTCAAGTACCTCTTTTACATTGACGTGATTGGCCACGCCGAGGACACGCACCTCTAGTCGGTCCTCGCGGCGCTCACCCAAGACGCTGCTGTACACATGGCAATCAAAAAGTCAACGAAGAAGTCTCGACGACGCGGCAACACGTCGGACGACGGTGTATACCTGTGCTGTATCAAGGCCATCGACGGCGCGCGCACCGACAACGCCGACTGCCCACGTCTCCAGCTGCGCGAGGTCGAGGCTAACGCGAACGGGCTGCGGAACAGGAATTTGCGACGAATTGAAGATGTGATTTCTGGATGATGTAGCCACTCGTTTGATAACACACAGTGCATTGGTGCTGCGAGTTTGGAATGAGAAATGTAGCCAAAGAGGACGCTGGATTCTGGCAGGGCCTTGATTCTAGTTGAACAATCGCGCTCCTGCTATCTCGAGGCGCATGTAGGAAATTCAAATCCAACGCAAAACGTTCTTGGATTATTATTGACGCTACTTGTAAAGATAAATTAGGCAACGTCTGAAGACAGGTTTGTCGCAGTGCGGGTGCGGGCACTTGTTGGCATCGGCGATCACATCGCGAAGGCAATCGTGGTGAAATAGATGTTCACACAAGAGCAACGAGCAGCGGGTGGTGCCACATTTAGTGCTCCAAGCTCCATTAGGGTTGGGGCGAGCATATTTTTTACTAGTACTCAGTAGTACGCAAGATCAGACAACCATACAAAGCAACATGTACGATTTGGCGAGCAGTGACACCTGGAATTTAAATTTGAAGTTGAAGTTGAGCATCAGAATGCCACCTTTGGGGCAAGAGCCCGTATTAGTATATTATACAAACGAGCCGAGATCGGCATGCCACATTTACGGCCAGCGTCGCGCCGCTTCTAAACCGCGACGGCAATTCGAACGCCAGCTGCACCACCCAGCGCACCACGAAGAGTAGTATATGGGAGGATGTGTGGTCGCGGTGCTGCGGATGACGGCGACGCGTCTACGGCTACTGCACCTGCATCGAAGGGTTTTGAGCATGGGAGCTCGCCCTGCATCGCGTCGGCTCAGCTGCCCAAACCTACTTGACCACTGCCCATGTCCAAGAATCCCGCCGCAAACGCACAGCGCACCGCTGGAGCTGTGCGCACGCATGACATACGTTTCGGTCCAGCAAACCGACTGTGTCAAGTGGCTCAGCGGCTGATCGGCGACCAAAGATCGATAGGTTTCGATCGCGTTGCAAGAGCCTGATATCCGCGTTGCCTCTTTCTGTCGTGTGTTTGCACCAAGCTCGTCAGCGCTCACACGACGGCAGATATCCGTGTCGGTTGCCTCATTCCAGCGCCACTTAATCCCGACCCCGACCCGCGTGCGCTGCTGCTGGCTGAAAGCGGACCCGGGTGCTTCTTCTCGGCTTGCTTGAACATCCAGTTCGTGAATGACTTACAGTGTACAAACTTTGTACCATATTAAAACACGGAGGACAGCATCTGGTCCGAGTGGACGCCTATCAGCCGCCGATTCAATGCAATCGCTGAAATAATAGGCGAGGTCTCAGCATCAGTCAGCAGCCACGTAGGTTCCGCTCTAGAAAATAGAGTAAAGTCCACCGAGATACATACCGAGCTCACATGCTCAACGCACGGTGATGGAGGCGACAGTAGCCCGAGGCGATTCGTCGTCATCAAGCCGGTCGAGACGACGCATCCTTCTGGCACCTCGTTGCGATGCGCTCAGGGTCGTGCGCTGGGTGGTGCAGCTGGTGCCAGAGTAGCCTTCGGAAGCTTCACGGCGCCACCCACCAGCAATGAGGCGTGCGGATCTGGCTCGTCGTCAGTGTCGAGAGATTCGTACGCTCCTCCTCCTCGACACGTGGTATGCAACTCCTTGACGAACTGACGGCCCGCGCAGCGTCAACGTGTCTCTAATACTGTCCATGCGGGCGAGCATTTGGGGTGCCCACATGCGCGCTGACGTTGGTGGCATGCCACGTTGAACGCCTGATTTCGAGTTTTATTCTTTTCTGCTTTGGAACGCAACCTCATCGAGCTTGCGCTTAAACTAACGCGGGCGCCTTTCTACAATGCACGCAGCCGCAGTAGCCATCGTCGTCTCTATCGCGGCTAAACGAACGCAACTCTCCATCCATTCTCAGACGCAGCGGACAAGGAGACGTCAAACCAC